AGGTCAGTGGGGCAGTGTACAGGGGTCAGAAGGGTGAAGGTCAGTGGGGCAGTGTACAGGGGTCAGTAGGGTGAAGGTCAGTGGGGCAGTGCACAGAGGTCAGTAGGGTGAAGGTCAGTGGGGCAGTGTACAGAGGTCAGCAGGGAGAAGGTCAGTGGAGCAGTGTACAGAGGTCAGCAGGGTGAAGGTCAGTGGGGCAGTGTACAGAGGTCAGCAGGGTGAAGGTTAATGGGGCAGTGTACAGGGGTCAACAGGGTGAAGGCCAGTGGGGCAGTGTACAGGGGTCAGTAGGGTGAAGGTCAGTGGGGCAGTGTACAGGGGTCAGTAGGGTGAAGGTCAGTGGGGCAGTGTACAGGGGTCAGTAGGGTGAAGGTCAGTGGGGCAGTGTACAGGGGTCAGCAGGGTGAAGGTCAGTGGGGCAGTGTACAGGGGTCAGTAGGGTGAAGGTCAGTGGGGCAGTGTACAGGGGTCAGTAGGGTGAAGGTCAGTGGGGCAGTGTACAGGGGTCAGTAGGGTGAAGGTCAGTGGGGCAGTGTACAGGGGTCAGCAGGGTGAAGGTCAGTGGGGCAGTGTACAGGGGTCAGCAGGGTGGCAGTCATTAGGGCAGTGATTTTACCCATATGAAGAGCAGAGACATATTCCTCTGGTGTCTAATCCCTGCTTGCACTGTTTTCAGTGTAGATATCAAGATTTAAGTTGCAAACATGTAGCTAGTGCTATTAGCAATGTCTTTAAGGTATAACAAAAAGGCAGAAAACATATTTCTCCTTTTACACGAAGGTCAGGTTAATATAACTAAGCACTGAGTTCACCCGTACATCAGTCTACAGGGTTCCCCTTTACAGTGCAAGGGGGAACTCTGCGGACCCCTATGTAAAAGGGAACACCGTGGACTCTCATGCAAGGGGAAACTCTGCAGTGTGATGTAAAGGAGAACTCTGAAGACTCTTATGTAAGGGGGAATGCTGTTGACTCTGGTGTTATAGGGAAACTCTGATGTAAGGGGGTCTCTGGTCACCAGCACCCCCTCCCCCCATACACAAGAATCCACAGAGTTCCCTCTTACATCATAGTCCACAGAGTTCCCCTTTTCATCACAGTGCATAAAGTTTTCCTTTGCATTAGAGGCCACAGAGTTCCCCTATATATACAGTAAGAGTCCACAGGGTCCCCCTTTATAATGTAAGGGGGAACTCTGCAGACACTGGTATAAAAGTGAACACTGTGGACTCTTGATGTAAAGTGGAGCACTGCAGACCATGATGTAAAGAGGAACTCTGATGTAAGGGGGTCTCTGGTCACCCGCTCCCCCTCCCTTACACAAGAGTCCACATAATTCCCCCTCACATCAGAGTTTGCAGGATCTCCTCTTATAGTGCAAAGGGGAAGTTTGTGGATCCTGATGTAGAGGGTAACTCTAATGTAAAGGGGAATGCTGTGGACCATGATGTAAGGGGGAATGTTCAAAACATGAGCTGATTAACTTTTACAAAAAGTGTCATGAAGAGACGTCTGCTGACCCTTGAAATGTCGCCATATAATGTTGTAATAAATGTATCATTTCACAAATCCACACTAGATGATGAGCTGTGCCATGTAGTGCAGCAAAATGTTTTCACAATAAATAATACCAAAAGAGAATAAGTAACAGAAGATAATCCGAAAACAAGTTTAATTTTATTTTTTGAGTTAGTTCGTTATCACAAATATAAAATCAAATGATAAAAGTAAGCAAAAATATGTACATCAGTAGACAATGCTGGTGCAACCTCTAAGCTGGAATGGGGGTAAGTACCATCTATCCGGGCTGAGGAGGAGAGACATTGTCATGGCAGTGCCCAGTGCTATCAAGTTATCAACTCCCTTATTGCTTATTGACTGCAAAGTAAAATCACCTGAAAATGTATCTTTAAAATGAACTGACTGTTGCAAACTGAATGAAACAGCATATTACTTTGTTATAAACCTGACATTTGCTACATTACTTCAGAAATGTAACAAAACATAAGACAGCTCAATATCTATTTATTACAGGTACTTATATAGCGCCATCATATTACGCACCTCACATTCATACAAACTAGGGCCAATTTAGACAGGAACCAATTAACCTACCAGCATGTCTTGGAAAGTTGGAGGAAACCGGAGTACCCGGAGGAAACCCACGTAGGCACAGGGAGAACATGCAAACTCCAGGCAGGTGGTGCAGTGGTGCAGTGGTTGGGATCAGAACCAATGACCCTATTACTGCCAGGCGGAATTGCTAACCATTTAGCCACTGTGTTGTCATATTAGTGCCCTGGTGTCAAACCTGCAGTTCGAGGGGGCCACATGCAGCCATTTGGTGTCCAAAGTGTGGCCCTTGGGCTCCAGCAGTCAATAGAGTCAGCATTGTAAAGGGGTTCTTAATAGTAGTAAGGTCTAGTGATTCCCTGCAACATGTCCCTAGTCAGTCTCTGGCAGTCCCCTATAGCATGACTTCAGTCTCCAAACACTCTTGAAGAAAAATCTCTGACCATTTCCTCCTGGAACTCCAATCTGTGGTAGTTTTCTGTAACATTACATGTAATAAATACTATATACGGCCCTTTGGATACATTGGGGCTGCATTTGAGCCCCCCTTTACCTTGAAGAACTGGAAATATTCAGCTGGCAGATGGTGAAGTGACATAACAAGTGACACCTTATATAATACAGAATAGTGAACCACCAACAGTCCCTTAAAGGAATACGAGAAGGCAATAAGGACATTTTTGACATGTATAAAAACATTTGGCCCGTTGTTTTGGTACATTTACCATATATGGTCAAAGAACTCCTTGCTGACTACTTTCTTTATTTTTTGTTTTAACCAGAATTTTTGTGCAAAAGATTTTACAATTCTGTTAAACCAAACAGATAAAAAAAAGAAATACAAGAAAAAAACATACAGTAGTCAAGCAACGTACAATGCTACACACACACTATGAAGGTCTCCAATGCAAATTGGTACATTCAAAAATTAAAGCTAATGAGTTACATATTATTCCTGACATATCTATTGTCCTCCTGCTCCAGATCCTGATCTTTAACAAGCTTGGGGCAATACCTCCAACTCCTCCATCCTCTTCATCCATCCATCTACAGCAGGGGTCTCTAAACTTTCTAAATGTATGACTTTACTGTCCTTCAGATTTTAGGGGGATATTAGGAGTAGAAATTGTCCTGGCATCTGTGCATCAGTGGGAGTAAACAATGCAAACAATACCCTCCCCCCAGTACATGTTTGCATGTCTTTTGACCAGCGGCTTGCAGCCAGTCAGCTCCAGCACTGATCAGTGTAATCTGACAGTAGCGGGAGCCATTGTCAGAATACAATGTTTCAGTGAAAGGGATTCCTCCATCCACCTTGCTTTTGTGGAAATCTGTTTGTAACTGTCAATGGCCAGCTTTAGAATTCTGAAGGACCTTCAAATTTGGAAGCCTTGAAGCATTTTTGCTGCAATTTTGCAGTGTTTTTGCTGTGTATTGTGTTTTAAAATCTGCCTAGCAACAAGAACATTTTAAAAAATTAAAAAGAAAAAAACACAAAATGCATCAAAAATGCAAATGCAAAAACTCAAAACGCAATGCAAAATGCAATGCAGAAATGGCTCAAATGCAACCTGCATAGGTGTTCACCTAGCCTTAGGGAGTACATTGTCCTAGGTGTACTGTACAAGGTGAGTTGTCACTAATATTTAGTCACATTAATAAATCCCATTTCCCAGCTGTTCTTTTTTTTCTTCAAATGGTGCTTAGCAGCTTAAAAACATTAAAAAAAAGATCTGCCTACAAGACTCACCTCCATTCCAATGCAGTTATTTTTTTCCACTCAGTCTTTTGGGTTATATGACAGCCGGTTCCATTCAACCTGGAAGACTGAGGATGTACGGTTAGTGAAGGATGTCATGGACTCAGTCCCTAAAGTAAATGGCACCCCTGCCTTGACCCTGTAATATTACAGAGACTGGCCCCCATTGAGGGAGAGAGGACCTAATGGGGGGTTATTCACTAAAACTGGACAGGGCATAATCTGGTGCAGCTGTGCATAGAAACCAATCAGCTTTCAGGTTTTATTGCCAAAGCTTATTTTAACAAGCTGAAGTTAGAAGCTGATTGGCTACCATGCACAGCTGCACCAGATTTTGAGTGCTCCAGATTTAGTAAATCTCCCCCAGTGTGTCATGTGACTGGTCTGAAGACATATGTTACATAATGAAGCCTAATATACTGTACATGTGGGGAACCGCAAGGGGAAAGGTGGGTTGGGTAAAATGATGGGGAGGAGGAGACCCTGCATTGGACTTTCAGAGATGACCTCCACAGGATAATAGTGATACTGTCTATCAATTAAACTGTATGTGAAGAATTATTACCATAAGACTATACCCTTAAAAAGGCATTTTGAGAATGGCAGCAGTGCCAAGCGAGCATCTCCCTGTGGTCACTATGCCGAAGGGAAGCCCCTTGCACAGAAGATTGCAGTGATCACTGTAGTAGCAGCAACTTCTACAGTGATTGTCAGCCTGCCCAGCAGATCATCAGGTATGAGATATGCATACTTACATTGGCCCAAGTTGGACCAAGGTAACTATGCAATAAAGATCATACTTAGATTTCAGATTTTAGGATAAACCCAATCAATTAGCAAAGAGGAGTACAAAGAATCTTTGACCAAAAGCAGAGCCTGAAGATGAAAAGACAGGAAAAATTAAGATATTTTTGAAGACCACTCCTTGAGTAGATGTGAAGACCAGCTTCCATCATCAGATGGGACCAGTTCATGCTTCATCTATTTTCCTGTACTAGAAGACAGAAGTTGGAACCTAGCTGTGATGGGTAACACAATAATTTGGAAAGAGTCTTCAATTTTAACACTTGGCTGTAACTTGTACAATTAACTAAACAAATCCTTCTCCTTGGCTGAAAAGCGTGGAATGCAGAAATTCATCTTTAGTTTTGTTAGTTGTCCCTTGCTTTTAAAATGTAGGTTTGTCAGCTTCTACTTTATCCACTTCAAGTGTGACTGTCTGTGAAATTTCAATGTCTGTTTCTGACAATGGAGCTTCGGCATGGTTGACCAGCTCCAAACTGGGAAGAAGATACAGAGAAAAAGACAGAATGAAAAAAATTGCAGACAAATGCAGAAAAATCAAGTTTTTTAAATGATTATTGGCAAAGTTTTTCCTTTCCATAAATTATTTTTGTTCAATAGCAATGTGTTTCTGTACTTGCTTGCAAATTTGAATATTCCAGGAAGAGTTAATTCCTCAGGACAGCCTCCTCCTCCCTAAGACAGCCTCCTCCCACATTTCATGTCATAGTGTCTACTGTCTGTGCTGGCCAGGCTCCCCCGCTGCTCCCCTCACATAACCATTTTTGTAGTTGCGGGTGGAGGAGCAAAGAGGTGTCTCTTGAGTGACAACTCTGAGTCTTTGGGCTGTTAATCCAAGATGGCAGTCTCAGGACTTTTGAATGTCTAGACAAGAGAGGCTTTTACAGGTAAAGACCATGCATAAAATATGTACATATAATCTTATGGAAGATTTTTCTTATAACTAATATTCTCTTTAGCAGTCTTTTGAAGTCTGGAGTGTAGAAATTCAGAAACTCATTTTCAGTCTCAACTTTTTATTGTCCATATAGATTTTCCAAAGTTCTGGAAAATCTTTTTATGGTCATACCATTCTCCCTTTCTACCCACTCCTGCTCATTGATTATGTTGCAAGCTACAGCCAGGATGGTTCCAAAGGGCGTATGGGTCATTGAGGCAACTTCCTGACTGTGGCCACCTTCATCTAGATAACATCACATTATTGCCTATAGATTCACAGCAGCTGTAGTGGCCAAATCTTTGAAAAATAATGGTATGGTATCACAAACCTCTGGAGACCACTGACATTAAAGTATCATGTTGTTCTTAAAGGCCCAGGAGCACAAAACTATGTATATGTGTCATGTAGGTGTACTGTAGCTTTATTGAAAATGTTAGTGTTACTAAACCCAGGACCCTGCATTCACTATATCTGGTCTCCCACAGTACACACATGGAAATGCAATTATTTTAGTAAATATAAACTGCTAAATATTATATTAATTTTATACTTACTTGGGATCTAAGCCAAAAAGATAGCGTCCTCTTTCTTTACCTGGATTAAGAAACAGGAATCGGGGAACATTTAGACGTATAATTTTTTTTAGCATTTTAAAGCCATTAAGAGGAACAGTATGTATTGTTATACCTATCATAATGTTGTAGGAACATATTCCAAATCTGCAGCTCTGCTAGAATGACTATTGGCAGTTTCAAATAATTAGGTTAGAAGCCTAGAAGCCCCTGACTACATACATCTTCCAGCTCAGTGACTCAGAAAGTAGTGAAACAAGGATTTGGATGACAGTCATGATGATTTAGAAACCAAGAAGGCATTGCAATACATGTATGTCAGTTTATTTATTTATTATTTATTTTAGGTACTTATATAGCACTGTAAATTTACACAGCACTTTACATATATATTGTACATTCACATCAGTCCCTAACCCTCAAGAGACATATAATCTAAGGTCCCTAACTTGCATTCATACATACACATACTAGGGCCAATTTAGACAGGAGCCAATTAACCTACCAGCATGTCTTTGGAGTGTGGGAGGAAACTGGAGTACCTGGAGGAAACCCACTCAGGCACAGGAAGAACATTCAAACTCCAGGCAGGTGGTGCCGAGGTTGGGATTCAAATTAACAACCCTAGCACTGCCAGGCGGATGTGCTAACCATTTAGCCACTGTGCTACCGGTTCTGACCAGGGTTGGACTTGTGCATAGCCAACATAGACATTGGGTAGGACAGCAGTGTAACCGGAGGCAGCATACATCCAAATATTGTGCCATGGCACTAGAATAGTTTCCCGACTTGCACCCACTTTAGGTAATGCTTTGTCTTCTAGCTATTTCTCCTCCCAGAAGATCCAGAGAACGTGGCTGAATTTCAAGGGTAATTACAGGTGTGGTATAGACGGTTGTCCTTGTATAAGAACAGGGGAGGAATTTAAATCCACAGTTAGTGGTAAGGTTTACAAGATAAAAGGTTTCATCAACTGAAATACCAAGCAGCTTATATACTTGATTACATGTGGAATCTGCCAAGTGCAATATGTTGGTAGAATGACTAGAAGGTCACCTCCATGACCATGTTTATGATATACAAAGGAACCACTCTGCCAATGTTGCTAATTGTTTTAACAGTGTTCATGGAGGTGATCTTAGTGCTTTAAACATACAGGACATTGAGAGGGTGGACAGGTCTCCTGGGGGGCAGATGGCTTCAGATTGCTATGTATACGTGAAGTCTTTTGGATTTTTTATTTGTGTACACGTATCCCTAATGCTTTGAATTTTGAATGGGATCTTACCCATTTTTATGAGTGACTTCTTTGCTCAGCAATGGCTGTCTCCCTTTCCCTTTCTTTCTCCCTTCCTTCTTCCTTCCTTCTCCCCCCTCCCTCCTTTTCTTTGTTTTTATCATCCTTTTTCTTTCTTTTGCTGTCCTTCCCTCCACCAGCTTGAATATGCTTCGATAGTGTCTGCTATATAAGCTTTTGCACACATACTGATTATTGGCATTCTTTAAAATGTTTGTTTTTTTCATCTATTTTGATGTCTCTGCCCACTTCACTGTCTCATTGGCCTCTTTATTGGTCTTTACTATACTATGATTCGGATTGTTTGTACACATATCAGTGCATGGTGAGGTGTTCCTTTTTCATGATATGTTTATTTAATTTTTCTTCTACTCACAATTTATTTTGTTTTCACTTCTGTCATACCCATTGTGTGATGCGGTAACTCCTGTATGTATCCTTTGGGTTAGTGTGTGGGGTTTGGGCACTTTGGGGATGTGGAAGCTGTCAGTTTTAGAGCCATCTTTATATTTGTTTTGGTCTGGTGTAGCAGGAGGTGGACCCAGAGTTGATTAGGAGGAACAGCTGCTGTCAATGTTTAAAATCAACACTTTGTACATGGGTCCATTGGGTAATGAACAAGTGCTGTCCTTAGCATGAAACGCATTTACCTGCCAGTCTCACACTGTATGTCTACTGCCTGTATTGGTTTTTATACTAGCTCAATAAAGTGGATTTTTTAGAGTGCCACCGATCTCACCTTTTTGCTTTCATCGAAACAGCACATGAGCTTGGCTGGCACCTATGGGAGGAGTTGTTCTTGGAGATTGGGGAGTCTCTCCACCTTGAGCAGCAGTAATGTACAGTATGTGCCCTGTTATACTAGATGTGGGCTTGAGACCTTCATGTGGACCTGGTCGCCACACATTTCTAGGACAGGAAGCAGGGGTGCATTCTTCATGGCTCTTTAAGATGTCCTAACCGTGCTCCTGTTTTTCTAAAATTAAAGTTGTTTGGGGCAGCAAGCATCTCTATCACCCTACCTAACCGGTTCTGAGACATGCAGACTGCTTCTGCCATTTTCTCTTGACTGGAAGTGATGGGAATGTTCAGTAACCAGACTGTCTACTACAGCCATGAAATAGTCCATGATATCATCATGCTACCTATCTATCTATGCACAGTGAATAACAGTTTGTAGTTGGCCAGAGACCTAACATTTTGCTTGCACAGGGGCCATTTTTTGACTTTGTATACCACTGGGTTGATCTTATAAATGTGATACTAACTTTTGGAAGCTAAATGGGCAGAAATTTGGGCAGAAAAGGGATGTTGGCACAAAACAGATGACCTACTGAAAGTAGGACCCTGGCCCACTGATAGACAGGTCCTCGCTCAATTTAATGAATTAGGAAAACAGCTATGTGTTTATAGTACTCAAAAACTGATGGGCTCTGCTTTGTATAAGGTGTGGATACTCTTGAGCTATGGCAGCACTTACCTCTGCACTTTAGAATGAGCAGGGATGCCACAACTAGTACGATTACTGATACACAAACTGCAGTGATGAGCATATGGACAGCCAAACCACTTTCCTGTGAGACAAAGATATGTCAGAATAGTGCAGCCAAATGTAGAATAGTTTTAGGAACATACAGTAAAGGCTTTGTCTTGCTAAAAAAAAATACATAGGTCTATGGTGCACTAGCAACTCTAGTTTGCCAGCAACAAACCTGCTCGAATTTATTTTGCTTTTTCCTATGGTGCTGCCCCCTTGTTGTCTGAACCAGTGTGGCAAAACACACAGCAGGCCCCTGAATATTTTATAAACTAAGGGCAGAATGCCTAATCAATCAATCCCCACATGAAGGAACCTCAGGATAAAAAGCATGGAACATACAACTAAAAAAATGCTCTTTAGCTCACTCCATAATAGTTTAATGTTTTCATTGTATTTTAATGTATTTCAAAAATCTAAATCTATTGGAAGATCTATATACTGTATATAGAAAGCTTTATTTAACACGTAAAACAGATTTTAAAGAACAAACACTAAATATTTCTATCATAACTATTCTTGTATACATCCTCATCACTCGATTGCAGGCAACAATAGCATCTTTCTCAAAGCCATTGCTAAAGGGAAATTCATCAATCTGTTGGGTAATTAATGTGTATTTCCCTACATGTTGCTTTATAGAAATTAAAAAAAAAGAATAATATAATAATTGCTGTGTTTTTTTAACTGTCCCAGATTCAATATTATTATATTGAAACAAAACTCCTGTATATAGCAAGCCCAAAGTATGGCTGTGTGTGACACCAGATCCCTGCCCCCTGCCTATGGAAGCTCCAAAAAGCTGTGTAAATTCTGGACTTTGAACAGATAAGGAAAAGAGATGATTGCAGATAAACAGGTACAACTTATATAGGAGGATTTGTTTAATCTCTGTGTATTACCTGAGGGTAATCACTTCACTGGCTATATTTAAGGGTTTATAAGCACTTTACCATGAAGAAATATTAAAGTGATAGGTCCATTTTAATGACTATTCAGTGATTACCTCTTTCACCTCTGTTGTTATATTTCCTGAGAAGAGGTCAGAGTTACCTGTTAAAAAGAAAAAAATATATATTTATATACACATTAGAACTCTCTGTATAATAAATATATTAAACTGGAACAAAGTCTACAACCGCAGGCAATATAGGGGGAGAGTTACTAAAACTGGAGCACTCAGAATCTGGTGCAGCTGTGCATATTACCCAATCAGCTTCTAACCTCAGATTGTTCAATTAAAGTGTTACTAAAGAGGGCGCATGCGCGGCCGGCCACGCGATGGACGCGTATTAAGACCCGCTCCATCCACCCGCCAGCAGTAAACCGGCACTCACCGGCTCCGGGGGTAACAAATCACCCCACGACCATCCTGACACCTGCCCGCACCTCAGCAGCCATGCCCCGCAGGAGGAGAGCCCCGGATCACCCCGGGAAGCTAACTAACTTCTTCCTGCCCTGGGAAGCCAAGATGGCGGCCGCAGCAGCAATGGGAGAGGAGACAGCAGGCACGAGGAGGAGGAATACAGAGCCCAGCACAGAGACCCGAGGCTCCAGGCATCACTGTATCCAGGGGACCCTGGTGAGTTGTCACCCCCCCTTATCCCCCACGACTAGCAGCCCTGCCAAATCCAGACCTCGTCTGGACCAGGACCACGACCCTCCCTGCCAAGCCATAAATTATCTGCCTTCATCCCCTACTATAGACCTCCCTGACATAGGGGCATTCCCTGCAACCGACCAACCGCTCACAGAGGTGACGATGAAGCACACGCTGACGTCCTTGCGTCAATCCCTGCAAAACGACATACTTACATCTTTAAACCAAATTTCTAACGCGGTACAGCACCAAGAGCGCAGAATAGGTCACATTGAAAACAGCTTGGGTGACATAATAACAGCCCACAATGATTTGATTGACGCTCATGCGGATCACTCGTCTGACATCGAACAAATTAACCTAAAATTAGCCGACTTGGAAGATCGCTCACGACGCAATAACATTAAAATTAGAGGGATCCCTGAATCAGTAACGAGCGAGACTCTACTTCCCTACATACAACAATACGTCAAACTACTCCTCCCAACACTCCCGGACATAGAGCTTGCGATTGACTGAGCCCACCGGTTGCCCAAGCCAGCGTTTTTGTCAGCTTCTATCCCAAGAGTTGTACTAATCAGAGTACACTTCTACCACGTAAAGGAAAGAATTATGACGACGGTCAGAAACATGCCTCCTCTCCCGCCATCACACGCAAATCTCCGCCTCTACGCGGACCTATCCAAAACCACGCTCAATAGGAAGAAAATGATTTCCATCACCAAGGCCCTAAGAAATCATGGTATAGCATACCAATGGGGTTTCCCAACCAAACTAATAGTGCGGCGACAAGGCAGAATATTCACAGTTAAGAACCTGGAAGCAGGCATTGATCTGCTTAAAACATGGAACATTCTTCCTACAGATACACAGGACAATATTCCTAACTCTGTCCAACACATGGAAGCAACCTGAGCGACTACATGACGCATTTCAGGTGCAGACACCTGTCCTACCCCCCTAGGGGCCTATGATTAATGTCCAAATGTCTGGCGATCGGCCCTCATTTGAAAATGACTATTCTACTTATTTTTGTTTGGCATGACCCTCTCCGTGGTCAAAGCCCATTTCTACCCCTCAATTCTAAAGTAGCGCTGTTGGCTACTTGGCCTACCTGCTTTTTCTGCAGAACTGTTTTTATTACCTTGTTTGTCTCCACCTCCCTTCTTTTACGGCACCATCGACTACTCCTCCTTACCTCTACACTCGCATTCCTAGAGTCTACATGGAACCACATTTCCATAGCCCCTATTCGAGCCATACTGGTACCACAAGTATACTACCAATTTCCATTCCTAGGAGCTTACCGAGTCTTGACCCTCTTAAACAACAACCCGACGCTATACTTTCAACGAATAATTCCTTACAAATGATTAATATAACATCTCTCAACGTCAGAGGCCTAAACTGCCCTTTTAAGAGATCACTACTCCTTAAAGAAACCCGGAAATCTCAAGCTGACATTTTCTTCATACAAGAAACCCATTTCGCCACTGAAAAAGCACCTAAGCTACACCTCCACCACTTTTCACAAGTATTTATGTCAACCAACCCCAAGAAGAAAAATGGAGTCATCACAGCCATTAGCGATTCCCTCCCTTTCCCGCATTATCTTACAAATAGCCGACCCACTTGGACGCTTTCACATCCTCATCTGTCAGATCAATGACATAACTCACACATTGGTGAATGTCTATGGCCCGAACAACAACCAATTACAATTCTATCGGAAACTATACAAAACTATCTCTACCCATAAACAAGGCAGACTCATAATTGGTGGAGATCTCAACGTTATGAGCAACCCACTTGTTGATTCATCCTCCAAGAAACAACCTACTAAATATACCTTCAATCAATTTCTACACGACCACGACTTATATGACATTTGGAGATGCCACCACGGCTCCGAGAGAGACTACACTTACTACTCCCCCGCACATCTTTCCTACTCAAGGATAGATATGTTTATCACCGATAAATGGACACTACAACAAGCGACCTCATCGAACATTGGCATCATTTCTTGGTCAGATCAGGCTCCAATCAGCCTATCCTTAGATGATGATAGACGTTCGGCACTTCCGCCGATCTGGAGACTTAATTCGTCACTCCTAAAATTCCCGGACAATCAGAAGCATATTTTAGAAGCACACAATTTATTTTTTGCTACCAACACCACCCCGGACATCTCAATCACCACACTCTGGCAAACCTACAAGGCCTACATGAGAGGTATCCTCATACAATTAAATTTGCGTATAAAAAAACAGCGCTCCCAACAAATTGACCAACTCCTAACCTCCATTAAATTAAATGAAGAACTCAACAAAAATAACCCTAACTCCTCCACCTCCGCGACCCTAAAACAAGAAAGAAACAAACTGCGCAACCTTTTACTCCACTTATACGACACCAATCCAATCTCCAAAAAACGAAGACCAAATTTTATGCATTAGGAAATAAAGCAAGTTCTCTTCTTGCTAAGATCATTAAACAAAAATGACTCAAGACCAAAATATCTACGCTACAACACCCGACCACGCGCTCACCTCTTACAAACCCGCAAGATATAACCAATGCTTTTGCAACATACTATCAAAAGCTATATAATATAAAAAACGATCCAAATACAACCCAACCCACGACTTCCACCATTGAAGGTTTCCTACATAACTCCAATCTCGCCCATATCACCCCTTCTCAACTTGAATCTCTATCGGCGCCATTCTCATCTGCAGAAATTGAAAAAGTTATCTCTACTTTACCCTTAAACAAATCGCCAGGGAACGATGGATTTACTAATGAATTCTACAAAACATTTGCACCCGACCCTTAAGTCACACTTATCTGCCCTTTATAATCACGCTGCGTCTAACGGTAAATTCCCTTCTGACATGTTGCAGTCGATAATCACCACTATCCCGAAACCGGGTAAAGACCCACAACTCACTCAAAATTACAGACCAATCTCGTTAATCAACACAGACATAAAAATATACGCCAAGTTAATTGCCCAAAGACTGCTCCCTTATCTGCCTAAACTGATACACCCAGATCAAGTTGGTTTTATACCCGGTAGACAGGCCCCAGATGCTACCAGACGAATAATATCTCTTCTGCACCACCTAGAAACTGATAGACGTCCCTCTCTCCTTTTATCACTAGATGCGGAAAAGGCTTTCGACAGGATTCACTGGCAATTCATGACACTTACACTACAAAAATTTGGCATTACTGGCTGGATACTATCGGCGATTCTCGCCCTTTACTCCCAACCATCTGCTAGAGTATTAACTAACGGCACACTTTCACAACCCTTCTCCATATTAAATGGAACCAGACAAGGGTGCCCCTTATCCCCCCTAATCTTCGCCTTACTAATAGAACCACTAGCGATCAAGCTCAGAAATGACCGAAAGTACACGGGAGTCGAATATCATTCTACCGAACACAAAATCAGTCTCTTTGCAGATGACATCATACTGATAGTCACAAATCCACATAAATCTCTTCAGACGATACGTACACATATTAGTGATTATTCAGCGGTTTCATACTATAAACTTAATCATCAATTTTAAACCTATTCACACCGCCCTTAACCCAAGAATTACTTTGTAAACAGTTCCCCTTTACTTGGGAAAACTACAGCATCCCATATTTGGGGATTAAACTCACTGCATATACTAGCCAACTCTACACAGTTAACTACAGACCGCTTCTCGAAACTATCCCACAAGATCTCAAAAGCCTTCGCACTACTACTCTATCGACACTAGGTAGAATAGCAACCCTGAAAATGTGTATACTTCCTAAAATACTTTACATTTTTTGAATACTACCTATTCCAGTCCCCTACTCTTTTTTCACCAAACTCCAGGCGATATTAAACAAATTCTTATGGAACTTAAAAAAGCCTAGATGCACCACACAAATCTACTAATACGCCCTACCTCCAGAAGGGGAGCAGGCCTTCCACATGTGAAATCCTACTACCAAGCTGTTCTACTGGACCAGCTCTTCTTCTGGTGGCACCCTTCCCCTGAAAAAATATGGACCACCATGGAAACATCTTTGTACCATCCACATGTTTTAACGGACATACTGTTTCTACCCCGCACCGCTCAGAATCAAATGCACCACAAGCATCCATGTATTCAGGCCTCCTTAACAGCCTGGTATGACTTTATTGACTATAACAAATCGGGGAACCACAATGTCCAAACTCTCACCCCACTATCATCTCTTCTACACCTCATCCCCCATTTAAACTTAAGAACATGGACGGTCCTTGGCATACTCCATATTCAAGACATATACACCTCAGACACATTAGATTCCTTCCACATCACCCAAAATAAATTCCACCTTCCTGACAACGAACAATTTACCTATATCCGCATAGCCCATGCGCTATGCAAAACTAATATCCCACTTATCATGGAAATCC